TCACTGAAAATTCACATATTTGAGAAATGCCTTTAGCTTGGTGGCTTTCAGCCTTGTATCACCCTGTGTGAAAGTAGTTCCCTATATTTATTTTCTTCTTAATTCATGTTGAAGTGAACATGATCTGTTGGGAGTAAATAATAGAGTTTTCGTTGTTTTATTAGTTTTTTAGCTACTTTTTTTTAATTCTAATTTGTATTTTTCTCAATCTTTGTTCAGCAATTCTATCTGGGGCATCTATTCCAATTTTGTCTCAGGTAAGAAACATTTATGTTCAACATCGAATGCAACCCCCATTTTACTAAAGCACTAGTGTCTTCATTGGGCCAAAAATGTTGCTTTCAACTATGAACTGCTAAAGCCAAAAGGTCTTGAACTGAAGGCCGATATTACCTCTCTGCCTCTGTGGGAGAACCGGAAAAGAAGACAGTGATTAGGAAGGTTTTGAGAGAAATAATAGCTAAAATAAACTTGAAAACAACCATGTATACATGTGAAGAAGCAGAACAAATCTGCTGGTTGCTTTTTCTATTGGGTAGATTTGTAAGGGTTTTTAAGCTGTAAATTTTTACTTGAGGATTCTAGAAAGAATGTAGCTGGATGAGACTATCACATAATTCAGAACCTCTCCAAAGTTATTGGCTAGAAACAAAAAAGCTGAAGGAAGAAGATGTGTTTCCATTTCATATTCATCTAAAGAATAGTTGACCTAGGTCTCTCATAATCTGATGATTTTCCTGTTACAGATTTCAATTTAGAAATTTGTTGTCACGCTCACTAGAGCTTGTGACACTAAACATTTTTATGCATAAGCACTGATTAGTTACTTTGGTCTATGACTTCTGCAGACATTTCTTGTGTGGCAAATTCTCCTGTCCATTATTTTTCTTGGGAGGAGATATAGAATAAATCAACTAGTTGGATGCTTTCTTGTAGCTGTTGGTGTAATTATAACTGTAGCAAGGTAACTTATAACTGTTTCAAATCCTAATCTTAGATTGATACATCTATGAATTTTGTTCTTGCAGCTTCACTTTCTAGATGTCCCCTCAAATTACCTGGTTTATAGAGGGCCCTGAAACAGAATGAGAGCCAAATTCTCTAGGCAAGAGAATTTGATTTGGAGTTTTAAAACGTAATAGATAGAATCATATTGCCTTTTCTTAGTGGATTTTAATTGCAGTAAGTCTCACGAAAAGTAGCATAGTCTTCTTGGTATAGCTGCATGGAGAAAGATTGGCATAAAACTTGAGGCGTTGAAGCACCTTTAAGATGATTAAAGCAGAATAAATAAAAACACTAATTGACAAGTTATTGCTCTGAATGTTTTAGGAGTGGAAATGAAGTTTTAGACATTTGAGCATTCTCAGTTGTCTTCTTGTATAGCAACCTTGGAAGTTGCAGGTCTCTGTTTGGGCTTGTAATCCAATTATTATAGCTGTCTGAATGGCTTTTCATTTTTAATTGTAAATTGAATTGTTCATTACTGATTGGCAAATGTGTTCTTGAAGGATTGAATCAGTTTGAGGGCAAAGTGTTGTTGTATTCATTTGACAAGAGAATTAAACTGATTATGTTAAAAATGTGAGAAAAAGAAGTATTTAAGATGATATTCCTGGTAGCGTCGATGTTGACTACTTCATCCATTTGTAAGGCCGGCTAAACTTGTCAATATTTTTGTTTTAGCATGATAAGTAATTCATATTGGTTTAGTGTAATTTCCTATGTGAATCTACTAATTTTGAAGACAAATCTGCATTATGGTTGCTGACATTATTTAGATTAAATTCAGATAATACAGATATACTTTTATTTGTTGCAATGGTGGTGATTTGAGACACAGTCGCTACCTTCTTGTAATGTGTGATGTACCAGTTTGCTCTTAATGATTGTTCCTATACAAGAAATTGAGAATAAGACTTATTGCCTGTGTTTTCTTCTGCAGTGGATCTGGCACTGGTTTTTCATTGAAGGAAGCTGGCATATTTTGGAGTCTATTGATGATAGTTTCTTTTTTGTTGCAAGCAGCTGATACTGTGCTGAAGGTTGTTGGCTTTCTTACTGAAATCTAATTATTCCCAAGTTCTATTGTAATGCATTCATATAACAGCTGATATTTTATTCATTTGCAGGAGGTAATCTTTTTAAATGCTGCTCAGCGATTAAAAGTATGATGTTTACTGTTGGAATATTTCCTATATCTTGTTGGTCAAATTGAACATAAAAAGCTGAGAAATATTTCTGTGAGTTCATGCATTGTATTAAAGATTGTTATCTTGCATTTCTTGCAGTGTGGTTCTGTAGATCTATTTGTTGTAAATTCCTATGGATCTGCATTTCAAGTAAGTACCTTGTACTGAATTACAATTTTTGGTTCTGTGTCAATTTATTTTTACAGTCTGCTTTTTAATGGTCTTTTTGTTATATGTCTTGGTTGAATGTTGATGTGATTGTACCATGTTTAGTGCAGGCATTGTTCATTTGCTTACTTCTACCCTTTTTATCGAAACTTTGGGGCATTCCATTTTGTCAGCTTCCAAACTATCTTAAAGATGGTGCAGCTTGCTTCTTGAACATTAGTGGTACCATATCAAGTGGTAAGCCGTAATTGTTTTATCATCTACTATTTGTTGTAAAGGTCTACAGATTCCATTCTTAGCAGTGTAGACAACAAATTTATTTCAAATGGGAAGGCATAGTGTGCCATGAATCTGTCCATAAACTGCATGTGCCGTAATGATGTAAGAAATAGAGACATATTTTAGAAAATTTTAATAGATTATTGTACTACTGGAGGACTTGGATCCCGACTGATGGGCATGCTTAAATAGAGGTAAAGGTTGCTCATCTTCAGAGCTTGGCTGAGATAGAAGAAGCTTTATAGAATTTAATCATTCAATTTTTATTGATTCTGTAGACAAAACATTTTAGAAATACCAAGTATGAATAAAAAATCTTTATAAAGGTAAGGAACAAATGTGTCTTGTTTGACATAAAAGTAGCACCTGTGGAAATATAGAGGTTTTGAGAATGATAGAAATGTGACTTGTAGTACCAGTAATGGTAGCCTGTTGCACCAATGAACTTCTTAATTAGAAATCTTTGATAAAGAGACAAAACCCAAGATCAGGAAAGGGGGATATTGTCACACATACATAAGAAAGAAAGAATATATCGTAGTTCTGTTCGTTACTTATAAAGTTGGCTTGCCATTCAGATTAACCATTCTATTTTCACATAACCTTGTGCTGTGACTAGATTGTGTTTTTAATGGCGCAAGTGATTGATTTAGTTACTTTGCAATTTCATCGGCTACAGGATGTGATGGTGCACCACTACTGCCATTGCTGTTTGTTATTGTCAACATGGGTTTTAACGTATCATTGCTGCATCTCCTAAAGATATCATCTGCTGTGGTTTCTTCACTTGCATCTACTTTTTCAGGTATGTCTTTGTTTTCCTCTCTAATCCCTTTTCAGTATCGTTTTCTTGGTTGCAGGGATTTGGTCAAAGCTCCACTTGACCTATATGTTTGTGTTCGTGTCTACGTCTATATATATATATATATATGTTGGTTTTAAAGTTAAGCATGCACAAGTGGGTACTGCAAAGGTGCTTTTGGCAAGATTAGAACCTGAAGCTTGTAGCATGCCAACCATTTTGATAGTGCTCAAGTGCTAGAAGTTAATTTGATAAATCTGATTTGCCAAGCATTAATGCCAGTATGCCACTCTAAATAAGCGCCTTTGTCTCCCACAATCACTTATAAATTATATAAGAATCTGTCGGTGGTTTGTATGACTGAAATTTTATTATTGAATCTGCATGGCAGTGCCTATTTCAGTCTATGTGTTCACGCTCCCACTACCCTATCTTGGTGTTGCATCCTCGCTTCCAACTGGTTTCGTTGCAGGAGCAATCATCCTTGTTCTGGGGTTGCTAGTCTATGCTTGGTCACCATCTGGTTCCACCAGTGCCTTGGCATAACCTTCCAGCTAGAATGTTATAATCAACTGCTGATCGGCATTAATCATCATAATAGCCAGAGCAAGTCCGGCACTCCCCGAGTGTCAGGAATACAGCCGAAAGAGTAAGGAGAAAGTTGCTTTTGTATGATTAATCTTCTTTCCCAAGTGTGCATCATGATCCCTCTGTATGCAAGTGGAGGTGACAAAGAGGAAGCAAAAGGGTAAATAAGTGTTGGGGAGAGATTAGAGACATTATGGATTCTAGTGATTAGAGAAAAATAGGAAATCCAAGTGTATTAATTTAAATAACAGAATGATAGGATCATTGTCATCCGAATGAAGGAGAAATGATATCATTATTACTATTTGCAATTTTAAATAGAATAAACAATCATTATTTATGCTTAATTACTGAACCAAAAAAAAATATACATATTTATTTATTTAAAATTAATAAATAGAATATTAGCATTGACAAAGGTCTTACACGGAGATGTAAATGAGTTCAAAGTTACTCTCGAACTACTAGGATTGGAAAATATTTGAATTTGACTTGCCTATTATTACTTGCTTAAATAATTTGTCTAAATAAGGTTTAAAATTTTTTTTATATTATTTTGAGCAACTAATTAACTCAAATGAATTTCATTTGAAAATCAAGTAGAATGATGGGCAAAATTCAAAATTTTTAATGAAGTTGAGATTGAACTTGCCATTGTATTGAGTCAGTTTGGTTTAATTGAGGAAAATAAAACATATTTTATTAGAAAGTATTAATGCAGTGTGGATGTTGTATAATTGAATGTAATAAAATATTATGAATTTTATACTAATAAGAGATTAAATATAATTATAAGTTTAAAGATTCTTTTTAACTTGGGCCTAAATGAGTAACTGGATCTAGTTTGGGAAATTTATAAGGAGTTTGGGCCTGACGTTTTTGTTCAGGTATTTGGGCCTGACCTTTTGAATTTTCCATCGCTACTATTTCTAACGGGAGAAGAAAATGAAATTGAAAAGGTTGGTCCTCTTTTCTCTTTCTGTTTCTTTCTCCTACCAAGAGAGGAAAGAAAGAAAGAACGAAAAAAAACCGTCTTTCCCTATAAATATCTGCTAGGTTTTACGTTTATCACTGTTCTCAATTTGTTATTGCGAAGATCTCATCTTCTCAGTTTTGGTTTTATATTCCGTTTTTCTCTTCAGATTTTGAATATTCGATTCGGTTTTCTCTTCTCTTTTGTTACTTCGATTCAGCTAACAGGTTTGCAACTAAGAACGCAGCTGCTTTATTTTCTCTATGTTGTGATGATTTAGACCTCTAATTGAACTTCTTCGATCAATTTATTTCTTCTTTTTTCTTTTTTTTTTTAAATTATTGTTGATTCCAGAAATTTGGAGTCTCTTTTAAGATATATGTTGTTTGGCCGGTCAGAAAGGAATTTGGGCAATTTGATTTAATTTATTTAATTTAATTCTTGCTAGTACTTTGAAAACAATGATAATATTGAAAGATTTGAAACCAAAGCAGAGTTTTGATTGTAGCATAGGGTTTTGTAAAACCTGGTTAGGACTTTATTTAAATTAATTGGGTATTATATGATCTAATACTTCCATTAAACCTATAGATGTATGTATTCTGGTTGTGGAGTTTCATATTCAACTACTCTAGAAATAAAATTAATTGCACTGAACCTTTCAGCAGTGAAATGTAATCAGATACTTAGATGTAAATGAGGAGACTTTGTGATTTTTATGCTAATTAGGAGTACTTTAAAGTTGCCTTCAAAGTTATAAAGATTTAGGGATTTTCTTAATCAATCTGATAGCATCACATAAAAAGATTATATAAGCTTTGAAGGGCGTCTGATTGTTTTGGTAACTATATAATAAGATTATAACATTTGAATGATTGAAGTCCTGATGTTTCTTCTTGTACTTTTCTTAGTAAAATATCGTACAATTCATACTGGAAAGAAAGAGAAAAACTGCCCAACAGACATAAATTAATTAACAGTTCTGGGTTCATTTGTATACGTATTTATTCAATTCCAATCAAATATGATTTTGCTTTTTATTAATTGCTTTTGCTTTTGGCAACTTTTGAGGAACCAAAGGGCAAATGGTAGGAGGCATAAAAACAATAACAAAGAAACAGCCAAACGGGCCTTAATTTCTAAATTTTTTTATTCATGTTGATTTGAGCAGGGTAATTGTTGCAATGGGAAAAAAAAAACAAGAGGAAAGTGGTGCAACTGCAAAAGTTAAGGGAAGCAGCAAAGATGTGAAAAAAGAGAAACTCTCTGTTTCAGCCATGCTTGCTAGCATGGACCAGAAACCTGATAAAACAAAGAAGGGTGCGTCCTCTTTGACTGCTACTTCTGCTAAACCCAAGGCGAGGGGTCCAAAGGTTTCATCTTACACCGATGGGATTGATCTCCCACCGTCAGATGAGGAGGAGGAAGATTATGCCTCTGAGGAAGAGCAAACTCAGTCTAACAGGCACCAGAGGCAGAGCTTTAAGCCACTTGATACCTCCATAAGCGAAAAGGAACTGAAGAAACGTGAAAAGAAGGAAATGCTTGCTGCCCAAGTTGCCGAGCAGGCAAAACAGGAGGCCCTTAAAGATGATCATGATGCTTTCACGGTGGTAATTGGTAGTAGGGCTTCTGTCCTTGATGGTGATGATGAAGCAGATGCTAATGTCAAAGATATAACCATAGATAATTTCTCTGTGTCAGCTCGTGGGAAAGAGCTTCTAAAGAATGCCTCAGTTAAGATATCCCATGGTAAAAGATATGGTTTGGTTGGACCAAATGGGATGGGAAAGTCTACCTTGTTAAAGCTTCTTGCTTGGAGGAAGATTCCAGTGCCGAAAAATATTGATGTGCTCTTGGTTGAACAGGAGGTGGTTGGTGATGATAGAAGTGCCCTTCAGGCAGTTGTCTCTGCAAATGAAGAGCTAGTTAGGCTTCGAGAAGAAGTTGCAGTTTTGCAAAATTCATCTTCTGCTCCTGGAGGAGGGGATGGCAGTGATCTTAATGGGGATGATGCTGGAGAAAGGCTCGCAGAACTGTACGAAAAGTTGCAGATCTTGGGTTCAGATGCTGCCGAAGCTCAGGCATCAAAGATTCTTGCTGGGTTAGGTTTCACCAAAGAAATGCAAGGTCGTCCTACTCGGTCATTTAGTGGTGGCTGGAGGATGAGAATATCATTGGCTAGGGCACTTTTTGTGCAACCAACACTTTTGTTATTGGATGAGCCAACTAACCACCTTGATCTTAGGGCTGTTCTTTGGTTGGAGGAATATCTATGCCGTTGGAAGAAAACATTGGTGGTTGTCTCTCATGACCGAGATTTTCTTAATTCAGTTTGCACGGAAATTATTCATCTCCATGATTTCAAGCTCCAGTTCTACCGAGGAAACTTTGATGATTTTGAATCAGGGTATGAACAGCGTCGTAAAGAGATGAATAAGAAGTTTGAAATTTATGAGAAGCAGGTAAAAGCAGCAAAAAGGTCAGGGAGCCGAGTTCAGCAGGAGAAGGTAAAAGATCGAGCTAAGTTTGCAGCTGCAAAAGAAGCGGCCAAGAGCAAGGGAAAGGGCAAGATTGATGAGGATGAACCTCCAGCTGAGGCCCCGAAGAAGTGGAGAGATTACAGTGTGGAGTTCCACTTCCCTGAGCCTACTGAACTAACGCCGCCTCTTTTTCAGATAATAAATGTAAGCTTCAGTTATCCTAATCGGAAGGATTTCAGGCTCTCAGATGTTGATTTGGGTATTGATATGGGGACTCGGGTTGCCATTGTCGGGCCTAATGGAGCTGGTAAATCTACTCTTCTGAACCTTATTGCTGGTGATCTAGTCCCAACAGAGGGTGAAGTACGAAGGAGTCAGAAGTTGAGGGTTGGGAGGTATTCACAACACTTTGTAGATCTACTGACTATGGAGGAGACACCGGTACAGTATCTTCTTCGTCTTCATCCAGATCAAGAGGGACTTAGCAAGCAGGAGGCTGTCCGGGCAAAACTTGGGAAATTTGGACTTCCCAGCCATAATCACCTCACACCAATTGCAAAATTATCTGGAGGGCAGAAAGCTCGAGTTGTTTTTACTTCAATTTCCATGTCAAAACCTCACATACTGCTTTTGGATGAACCTACAAACCATTTGGACATGCAAAGCATAGATGCTCTGGCTGATGCACTAGACGAGTTTACTGGTGGAGTTGTCCTGGTAAGTCATGACTCTAGGCTCATATCACGGGTATGTGAGGATGAAGAAAAGAGTCAAATTTGGGTAGTAGAAAATGGGACTGTGACCACATTTCCTGGTACTTTTGAAGACTACAAAGACGAGCTGCAGAGAGAGATTAAAGCAGAGGTTGATGATTGATGTGGCAGTTAATGCGGGCATTAAGTTTTCCATTATATTTATATTTTGTCATGTAAGTGCACTAAAATCTGCAATTTTCTCAAATTTGTATTTCTTTTATATTTTCCTGGAGAATATGTGAGGGTCCACCTGTGTTGCGGATTTGTTTGAAATTCAGAGCCTGTTAATCTATGAATTTGGCAGTGTACACTAGGAAAAATGGAATGCAAGCGCAGTATGAGTTAATAAGTAATATGAGTTATGTTTGAAATTCATTTTCAGGATGTTAAAACTATTATATTTTTCCAGATTATGTAGCACAATTACTGTGCCTGAATTACTTCTTTTAATTAGCTGTTGCATGAAGTCCATAGATAAAAGTTGACTCTGCGTTTGGCGGTGTCATAATTTTTGTTACCTATTTTGCATTAGTCAGAAAGAATGGACTGGCGATGCGACTCAGGCTGCTTGAAATCTGCGTTTTGCATTTCTATGATGAAACTTGTTTGAGAATGCTAGTAGCTCTTCACCTAGCGTTGCTCTAGGTGGAGAGTCTGTTTGCATCCGACAAGCGGAATAGTCTGCAGAGAGGCTTCTAGCTTTACTTTGGCTTATGATATTAGAGTCATTTTTCTTTTAAGTTCCAGTTTTGACCAGCTTGAAGCAAAAAATACATATTATTCAACGATTAGACTGGCACGTATCTTCTTGTGAGCTAGAAAGCAAGCAAGCTCATAGTCTCATTGTTAAAGTACATGGAGAAGAAACATGATTGGTGACTGCTTTTTGGAACTAAACGTGTTCTTTGGACAACCTTTTTCAATAAATTGACGTGGGCAACCTTTACATATTATCGTATTAAGTAATGGATTTTAGTGATTAAATATATATATACATATATATACACACACATCAAACAAAAATCATTATTTAATAACAGTTAACGGGAAAAATATTTATTGAATGATATAGAAAGAACGCAGTTTGAAAAAACACCTTCGCCTACTATGAATATTTAGGAGTACATTCATCAAGGCGATATCACATTAACTCGCTACATAATATTTTTTTCAGTTTATTTGAGATGCTATTTAAAAAAAAAAAATCTTATTGGACCTTCACATAGAGTTTGGATCCCCAACAGAATACGCTAGCATTTCCCAATGGATTTGGAAAATCAACAGACACGGAGTCTGATGGAACCGCGCCCAAAGTCAAGCGGGCTGGTGATATTTGTCCTTTCTATCTACACAACTACAAGAGTGAAGTGAGCTTAGCCTTAGCTCCACAGATTTCGATTTCATGGCTCATTCCTTAATTTCTCTGCTTTTACTCTCTTTTCTTCTTCTCTTCGCCTCTTTTCCCCAATCGCAATCAAACCAGGTACTTCAATTTTTCTCTTCATTTCTTGAATCTTGAAGTGAGTAATATTGAAGAACTTAAGATGTAATACAAATCAAGAAGCTTTTATTTATTGTGATTACGTTGAAGAAATGACTGTTGTATGATTCTTCCTTTTTTGGCAAGTAGATAAAAGAATTTGGGATAATATTGAAAAAAACAGAAAGAATTTTTGATTTTTACTAAAGCTTTCAGGATGATTTGGATAGACTTCCCGTTTAATTGTTCTACTATAATTTTATTATTTAACTAACAAAAAAGCCTAAGTGTGACAAAATTGATTAAAGTGATCGTGTATGTGTTGAATTTGGAGCAGTTTTGTGATGCTGGGATTGGAAATCATGAGTCAACGTGTGGGATTTCGCCATCATCGTCGTCATCAAAGCTGTTGATTAAGGGAGGAACCGTTGTGAACGCTCACCAGCAGGAGATAGCTGATGTTTATGTGGAAGATGGCGTTATTGTGGCTGTCAAGCCTACTATCAAGGTAAGATGCTCATGCTTTGACATTAGCAAATGCAGATTTGTGAAATACTGTAGTGAGATTGGTCATGTCAATTACAGAATTGAACCTGCCTTTTTCAATTCTTTACAAAGGACAGATTGCACTGCTTATGATTTTGTTGTTGTAAGTTGTTACATCTTCTGAGCGATTTTCAAACTATTAGAAATTATTGTGAAATCTAACGCTGCTTTTTCATTGCATAAATGCAAGCTAATTAACTAGTATTTTGAAGTGAGTTTAGAAATGTTCCCAAGCAAAGTTCTTACTATAATTTATGCTGTTGTTTGCTCTTGATGTTTAAATTTATGATTGTGTTTTATGATTCTATATACATTCTGAACTGTTTTTGCAGGTTGGAGATGATGTTACCTTGCTTGATGCCACTGGAAAATACGTCATGCCAGGTTATCTCCTCGTTCCATGACTAAATGATAGGTTTTTGACTTTTTGTGGAATTTTTAACTGTGGATATAATTGAAGCAAATAACAAGAGATGTGCTCTAAAAAGCTTTAAGAAGATATTTTAAGAAGATTAATTATGTACCATCAATTTATGCGCATTTTATGTCATTACAATTAATTGAATTTTCTGGAAACTAAATGCGAGGAACAGGCTATTCCGTTATTTTTTCTGATTATTGTATTCATATTTCCTATTATCTTTCTCTCTCTCTCTCCCTTTTAAAAAAGGAAGAATTACAAATCCTCTAAAACATGAATCTATCTGTCTAGAAAGTAACTTTTCATGTGGCACCTGAACAAGATTTGTTAATTTTAGAGTTGTACTTATGGAGGATGTGGGCCTACATATTTGATGAGTCTCATATATGTATACAAATGTAACAATTTATCTTGTAGATCTTTCATATTCATTATATTGTTTCTTTTTGGCGTGTAATAAATCTTGGTCAGCTTATAATGTTGAATTCTTGTCTCTCATGATGTTGTTTATGTTATATATATTTTAGGGCATTCATTTCTGTCTATGTATTCCTTTCTTTGTAACATAATATCTACATGAATTTTTAATCTCATACTTAAGTACATAATTGCTCTGTGTTGGTTAATTTTGACCTCATCAAGGGCTTTGTGAAGTTATTTCCAGATCTCCTGAAACCTCAGTAGCTAAAGACGTCTTGTTATGTTCCACCACTTTACTAGCTCTGTAATGTTAACAGGAGGAATTGATCCTCACACGCACCTAGCTATGGAGTTTATGGGTACTGAGACGATTGATGACTTCTTTAGTGGTCAGGCTGCAGCATTAGCAGGTGGAACAACAATGCATATTGACTTTGTTATACCAGTTAATGGTAGCTTGGTAGCAGGTTTTGAAGCCTATGAAAGGAAAGCAAAGAAATCTTGTATGGATTATGGTTTCCATATGGCAATCACAAAATGGGATGAATCAGTTTCAAGGGAAATGGAAATAATGGTTAAGGAGAAGGGTAAGATTCTTTATCTTTCAGATTATGTGTTGTAGTATCTATGATGCAAGCTTCTTTGACATTTCAGACTTCATAATCTGTACTTATTACAAAATTTGTAGTAGATAGCTGAATTAAATCTAATAGTGTACTGATGTAATTTTTTCAACTTATAGGCATCAACTCTTTCAAGTTTTTCATGGCATACAAAGGTTCTCTCATGATAAATGATGAGCTTCTACTGCAAGGACTGAAGAGGTGTAAGTCTCTTGGTGCCTTGGCTATGGTCCATGCTGAAAATGGAGATGCTGTATTTGAGGGACAGAAGAGAATGATTGAGCTTGGTATTACTGGTCCAGAAGGGCATGCCCTTTCTAGGCCTGCAGTGGTAATTCTTGAAATGCATTCTTTAATTTTGTTAATTTGTTTTTTCTGCTGGTAGTGCTTGCTCTTGCTTTCATATTCTACGTTACTAGTCTTAGTTTTGGCTTTTTGAAACTTTTGGCAGTTTGTTAAATCTTGGTAAGTGGTTAATCTCTCTTGATCATTTAATACCTCTGATTGTATTTTCATTGCTCTTTCTAATGAATCTCATTATAATTTCCAATCACAAGTGGGGAAAGATTTTTTTTTCCTACCTTAACCACTGATGCCAAAGGTCAGCAGTGACTGGGATGTCAAAAGGGTGAACTTCAAATGATATGCCTCTTCAGAGATTAATCAAACTTATGCATACTTTTTTTTCCCTTTTAATCCTTTTATTTATTCATGTAGGAATTGGGAAACATAGTCTCCTAGAGTGCACTTAGAGATATGTATCTGTGTAGTACTTTTCTGCCATAGTTTTCCCACAAGATTATTAGGTAATTACAGCTAGTAGGAGGCAAGAACTACTTGCATCTGCTCCCTTTCCTTTCAAAAAGGGTACTTAAATGTCTAAGAAAGGATAAATTATGGCTCAGTGTTCACTATTTTTTTTTTTTTGAAAGACATGTTCGCTATTTTAGCTGATTGCATCAAGCTGTTTGTGTATTATCAGCTAAACTCTTATCAGATAGATGGTTCTTTCTGTTTATTTGTTCTTTTCCTTGAGAATACTTTATTCTGTGCACCTTTGAGCATATGTTACACTCATGACTTAGCCTTCCCATTTAATCTCCGTGCAGCTAGAAGGTGAGGCAACTGCTCGAGCAATTCGTTTGGCAAGGTTTGTGAATACGCCTCTTTATATCGTCCATGTGATGAGCATTGATGCCATGGAAGAAATATCTAAAGCTCGAAAGTCAGGTTTTAAGTTCTCTAATATCTTAATCTATTTTCGTGATACATCTCTTTATCTTATCCATGTGATGAGTAATTTGTTTGGCAAGGTTTCTGCAGAAATAACAGAATGCTTTCGTAACCATACTGTAAACCCTTCAAAAAAGTAGTATGAATTATCAAAACAATATGATTTTCCCATATTTCCTTTTGTGCACATAACTTTTGATGCATGTTGGTAACTACATAATGGGGTCTGTGCATACATTATGGTACTGCTTGGTATCAGCTTCGGAATTATTCTGATCATCCAACTACTATGGTGATCCAAGATCATTCTTGTTGCTGATCTTGGATTATCATGTGTGTATTGAATTATGGAATCACATGGGAATCAAAGGCACATAAGGACATACTTGTTCCGTAATCTTCATTACATGGCTTGTTAATCTTAGATTTCCACATTTTATTATTCCTTCGGCATTGATCTGATATCTTAGTGATCAGTGATCTGGATCACCAAGGCCTTATCAAATATGGTTATCACATGGCTGAGTAGCATATTGCTGCTAATTTTGGGGTGACTGCCTCTTATCAGAGACCACCTATACTTTTAACGTGCTGTAACTAAATGAATTAGGGTTTGACTAGAAGAAGGGTAGAAAATAGAAATTATGCACTC